CCCAACACAACATACTTTTGGGAAACTTATTGTGATGGATAGAGACCAGTTTAAAAATGAGTTTAAAGCAACCCTTTTTAAAAAAAAAAAATCATAAATTTATTAAACCCATTGTAATTATTATATAGAACATTTTCAGAGAGTATGGTTATAAAATACATATAAAATGTTCACTCATGGACTATCTCAGATTTTGTTGAAACTTATTAATTTTTTACATTTGTATTAGAAAATGTCTTGAAAACCTCATATCAATATCTAATGCAAATTTTTGAAAAAACTATTTAAATAGAGGGTTATTTTACTGTATTTAAACAGTGGGTTATTTTATTTTATTTAAATAGTGAACTATTTTATAGTTTTTAAATAATGGGTTATTTTATAATATTGAAAATTTTTATTTATTGTTTGGCAATTTTTTGCCAACCAGAAACTATTTTGGCAAAAGTTTAGCAAAAAAGCAAAAAATAACACAAAGGTTTCATTATAGATCAGCAATTAAGTCCAAGGGCTGTAACATTGATAAACAAATTTGACATTATTAACTTTGACAAACACTGTAACTTTGACAAACAAGTTTTTCATTTTTCATAAAAATAAACAAAAAAGTTTATTTTCCATTTTGAATCTTTTTGATATTGAAATAATACTTTGATAAATTCTAACAGTTAACTCTTCTAAAAATATTTTAATAAATTTGATTTTTGTTAACGTAAAAAATTAACTTCACTTTTTTTTATGTTCACCAAACAACTTTCAATCAGTCAAAGCCTCTTTTCTGGTTAAAGTTATCACAAATATGCAACATACAATCTCTATTTACTATTCTATAAACCATAAAATTCAGTAAGTTTTTGTTATCTGCCATCTTTTGAATTTTAAAAAAGCTTTACAGTTTGATGCTCTTGACAAACACAAATTGCATGAAGCAATACTCAAAAAGGATCATAAGCACAAAAAAGGTTGAAGCTTGATGACAAGGATTGACAAAAAAAGAAAAATCCACTTGAAAAATTGTTTAAATCAAGTTGTTGCTTCCAGTGAAAAACTAAATTTTTTCAATTAGTTTTTATCAATAAGAAAATTCAAATTTTTAATGTACTTTTAGACAAGTAAAGTAACATGGTTTGGAAACAGTTAACAGTTAGAATTTACAAGAGAATCAATACCAAAAAGTCAACTAACTACCTGCAATATTTAAATACTAACTTTAATTCTCCTTGACTTTGGAGAAAACTATTTTTTTTTTAAATTGAGTCAAAAGCTGAACTAATAGGCCGGGTGAATAAAAATGAGCAATTGCTTTTACTCAGTGTTTTACGTGTTTTTATTCAGCTTTACGTGAATAAAAACTTCAGCAATTTTACTCAAGTATTTGTTCACGTAGAGCTGAGCAATTACTGAGTAAATTGCTTAACTTTACATCAATAAAAATTTGAGCAAAACTGTTGATGGTTTACTCACGTAAAGCTGACCAATTACTGAGTAAAAGCAATTGCTTATTTTTATTCACCCGACCTAATGACAGCAAAACAAAATTTTTTTTTGCAAATGTCTAGATAACTAATTACCATTGGTAAGTTTGTCTAATTTGTGAGAGATTTATATTAAGTGATTTTACTGTATTATGTTACACCTTAAATATTAATGTATTTTATAATTATAATATGATAATGCAATCATATTATAATTATAAATTAAAATTATAAATATTGCTTTTAACACTAAAAATTTCCCACTGAAATCATCATTATTGAAACTTTCATAATGGAATTTGTTTTTGCTTAAATACCTTGACTATTGTTATATTAACTTAACCTATTTGCTATGATTGGTAAACATGTGTTTTTAATTAAAACAGAAAAAGCTTTTGCTATGGTTGGTAAACATGTGTTTTTAATTGAAACAAAAAAAGCTTTTGCTATGGTTGGTAAACATGTGTTTTTAATTGAAACAGAAAAAGCTTTTGCTATGGTTGGTAAACATGTGTTTTTAATTGAAACAGAAAAAGCTTCAAGATCTTACAGATATTATAATTATGTAATCTTACGTATGAAAAAAAAATTTATAATATCTCAAACATAACAATTATATGATCTCAAAGATATAAAAATTTTTAAAGTGAAAAAATTAAATTAAAAGATCATTTAAACATTTTAAAGTTCATAAAAAATAAACTAATACAAGCAAACCTTTGATGAAGCATGCTTTTCACTAATAAACTTGCAACTTCATCATGTCTACATTTGAATGGTGGAATAAATTCCAAAGCAAGTTCTAATGGCAATTTCCCACCATCACTAGTTGGTTCATAAACCAGACCAGGATACATCTTTATAAAAACTTGTGCAATATCTTGTAAGTTACGCTCTGCAGCTAAATGCAATATAGTCTTTTTACCTTGATTAGGAACTGGCAGTTTCCATGCATACTTGCGTCCTTCTTGAGATGAAGACGAAGAATAGTCATCATGTAAAATTATTTTTACGAATTCAAGGAGCTATGTACAATAGAAAATGAAAAATATATTTAACAGAATGGAAAAACCTTTTATCTTGAAAGCGTCTATATATGTATGTATGTATGTGTGTGTATGGGTATATATATATATATATATATATATATATATATATATATATATATATATATATATATATATATAAATATATATATATATATATATATATACATATATATATATATATATATATATATATATATATATATATATATATATATATATATATATATATATATATATATATATATATATATATATATATATATATATATATATATATATATATATATATATATATATATATATATATACCCATACACACATTATAAAAATTTATAAACATTACCAATTTGCAAAGTACTAAAACCACTTCTAAGTACAAATTAATTCATGATTATTGCTAATAATTTTTTAATAATAACTTGTGAAAAAAAAAAATTTCATTTCCTAAATTTTTTAAAATGGTTTTGCAAATAAATACTCATAAAAATGGGTTTTATATTTAAAACCAGTTAAAATTAAAAACAAATAAAAAACTTAAAAGAGATATAAAATAATATTTTTATGTATCGTTAACATTATTAACAAGGTGCTTATTTTTAAACAAACTAATTCATTATTTATTTAAATTATCGTAACAACAACTCATTCTTTTTTTTTTTTTTTTTTTTTTTTAACATCTTCACTTCCAACAAGGCTGCAAGCAACCACTATAAGAGTTGGAAGTTACTGGAAGAGAAAAGACTAAATCTGTAGAGCAAGATAACGATTGACTGATGACTTAAAAGATTGCAAATTATATGAATCAGGAAAGCAAGATGAAGGAAGCGAATTCCAAAGAACTGATGTTCGAGGAAAAAAACTAGAAGAATAAGAGTTTTTGAAGCACTTAGGAACAGTCACAGAAAAAGGATGAGACTTAATTGAATGGCGAGTAACACGAGAATGAATTTTAGTAGATAGCACAAGGGACGCTAGCTCTTTAGAGCAGTGCCCATTATAGTATTTGTAGAAAAGAGAAAGAGAAGCAACATTACGACGATGTGACAAAGGTTGGAGATTGGCTGCCAGAGCAGGTCCAACTATGTTTACAATTCGTTTTTGCACCTTGTCTAAAAGAGAAAGAGCATCATTAGAAGATCCGCCCCAGATGTGGCAACAGTATTCCATACAGGGACGGATTTGAGATTTATAGAGATAGAGAATAGAATCTGGAGTAAGAAAGTGTCGAGCTCGATAAAGAGATGCAACCTTAGCAGATGCTAATTTTGCAATGGATTTGATATATGGTTTAAAAGAAAGATCAGAAGTAAGAGTTAATCCTAGAAAATGAATGGTAGATGACTCATCTAGTACATTACCATTCATAAATATAGGAAGATCTAAATTATTACGATAACGATTGGCCGAATAAAATTGAGTTTTATCTGAATTAAAGTTCACCAGCCACTGTGAGCCCCATGCTGTAGCAGAAGTGAGATCCTTTTCAAGCTCAGATACCCCCTCCAAGCAATCAGAGAGTGTAGGCTTCTTATCATGACAAGAGTAAATGGTAGTGTCGTCAGCAAATAATGCCACCTTAGATGTGAGAATATCTGGAAGATCGTTAATGTAAATTAAAAAGAGTATAGGGCCAAGGATTGAACCTTGAGGAACCCCTGAAGTTACAGGATGTGAAGAAGAGTGTTGTCCATTGAGGGCAACTTTTATACTACGATTGGAAAGAAAGGACTCAATAATCTTAAAGACGTTACCAGCTACACCATAAGAAGAAAGCTTATGGAGAAGACCAGCATGCCAAACTTTATCAAAAGCTTTAGAAATGTCAAGTGCGATAGCCTTAACCTCTCCACCTCTATCTAATGCACGGTAAAACCTATCGGTTATTACTGTTAGCACATCAGCTGTAGAACGAGAAGACCGAAATCCATATTGATGATCAGAAAGTAAGTTATTTGATTCAAGATGAGAGATCAAGTGTTTGTTGATTAAAGATTCAAAAACCTTGCTTATGACAGGAAGAAGACTAATGGGACGGTAGTTAGATGAATCAGATCGCTCTCCGGAATTTTTGAAAATAGGGATAACAGATGCTGCTTTCCAGCATGATGGAAAACAAGACTCTGATAAGCACTTGTTAAATAGTTTAGAAAGTATGGATGAAAGCTCGGGAGAACACCTCTGCAAGACTACAACAGGAATGTTGTCAGGACCACAAGCTGTCTAAGACAAGAGTCTAAGCAGGAAATTACTTTTGATACAGAAGCTGAAGTGATGCAAATGTCAACCAAGGGATCAACCTGTTTGACAGCTACGTCAGGTAGAACGCAACTAGTGGAATCAAGAGATAATATTGATGAAAAGTTCTTAGCAAACAATTCGCTTTGTCTTTAGGTGAGGTGAAAAAGTCTGAACCATACAAGAGAGAAGGAATAACAGATTTGCCCTTATTATTGATACTGTTAAACATTCTCCAGAAGTCTCGAGAGCCTAATTTTTGTGATGAGATACGAGATTTTATGATCTGAGAATAGCGAGCTTTGGCGTCAGACAAAATCTTTTTACAATGGTTTCTGGCGATGGTGAACAGATGTCTGTTTTCTGGAGAATTGTTTTGCTGATAGATATGAAAGTAACGGTTTCGATTAGAAATTGCTGCCTCGCAATGTGAGGAAAATCAAGGAGAAGAGTGAGGCTTAACCTGGAATTGTCGAGAGGGAATAAAAGATTCTATGCCAGCCTGAATCCACGAAGTTATGTAAGAAGCACATTTGTCAGCAGGAAGACGAAAAATTTCTACCCAAGGGCTATCACGAAGAAAATCACGGAAAGAGTCCCAGTCAGCTTTAAGGTAGTTGTATGTGGTACGATGATAGGGGGATTCTGATGAAGTAGAAGAATTTGATAATAGTTTTAGAGAGATCAAACCGTGATCAGAAGTACCTAAGGGTGAATGTGGAGAAATTGAGCACTGACTAGGATCCAAAACAAGACATAAGTCGAGTAGAGAAGGTAAATGATTAGGGTTGTCTGGAAAGCGAGTTGGAAAGTTGACTATTTGAGTTAGAGATTGAGAAAGGCAAAAATTGAGAAAGGCCTTAACGCCAGCAGAGTCACTGACACTAGAGCCAAGCCAATCGGTGTGATGGGCATTAAAGTCACCAACAAAGACAATATTGGCCGATGGATAAAGAGAGAGGGCTTGGTCAATTTGATCAGAAATAACATCAAGAATAGTGCAATCTTGGTATGAAGGAGAGCGATATAGAACAAAGAGAAAGGCGATAGAGTGAAGTTGTGCTAAACGAAAGCACATAAATGAATAGTCTGTAGATTCAAACCTAGTTTCACGACAAATGGGTGAGTTCTTACGAATGTAGATGCCCAGGCCAAGCATGTGATTATTGGAGTTTTTACGAATTAAAGGAAGATAACCATCAACACTAAGATCACAAGATGGGACAGCTGAACTCAAATTAGTCTCACAAAGAGCAAATAGGTCTGGTGAACTTTGCAAGAGATAAGACTCAACAGAAGAAAAGTTACTTCGAAGACCACGAATATTAGTAAATGATAGGTTTAGAGAACTTGGTGATGACGATGGTTTTTTGTGTTTTTTAGTTTTAGGTACTTTAGTCATTTTAAATTTATAAAGAACTTGACTCAAGTATAGATAGTACTCAGTACAATATTTAACAACTAAGCAATAGCCTCATTACTATTAATAAACCCTAAGCCGTAACAAAGGGCTCCAAATGTGGCCTCTACAATGCACACTAAAAGTACGAACAGGGACACCATCCATGCGCAACATGGCACTGTTAGTACTCTGATATTTTTCGGCTGTTGATGGAATCAGCCTTTCTGAGAGCTACCACAGAGTTCGGCAAACCTGACTACCAGCCGGCCTCAGAACCATAAAACTGAGTTTTAGAGCTGTACCCTCATTAGGAGATAATAGAATGAGTTGCCCAGTCATAAAAATAGAGACACAAGCAATACCCACGCATTGAGTCAAGAAGATCCAGCGTTCAACATCCTAAACTGGAAACAATGTATTAAAAATACATCTGCGCCAGCCTAATAGATGAGGATAGCCAGCCTAATAGATGAGGATGAGGATTCTAGATAAAAATATTTACAAAAATGGAAATTGTAGTGATTTAAAGGGTCATAACTTAAAAACTTTTGGATCATTTGAATCTAAATGCCAATTGGATCCAGAACCCAACTTGATAACTTTGTATTTCTCTGTCGTTGTTTAATTTTTGTTTTATTAATAAAATAAAATTACTTTAAATAATTCAAATTCAATAATTGGTAAATCGTTAGTTAACAAAGAGAAAATATTGTTATTAGGAAAAAACCATACTACACTAATTAAAAAATAATAAAATACTTTTTATTCACACATCAAAAAAAGGAATTTTTGGTTTTAGGTACGAGTTCCCAAAATATTTTTATATAACTTTTTTGAGAGACTCTTTAGAACACTGCGCATAGAACCTTAAAAATTAAAAGTAAGCTTTTTTTGAAAAAAAAAAGATTTTGAAAAAACTTAACTTTTTTTTCCAAACAAATTAGTGTAGTGTAATTATTTTTCCGAATGGAGTAAAAAGATTAATATTTTTTAAAAAGACATTTTAATACTTATTATCCTAACTAGTACTCATATGACTGACAATTCAAGTTATAAAATACATAACTTTGAAAATAAAAAACTTAGAAATAAACTAACTTTTACTGTTAAAGCTAAGAATCTTAAAAAATATTTGCAATTATCGAATGTTTTAAAATTATAAATATATATACCAGGAAAAAGGAGTCCCAAAAAGGATACCGGATTTGAAAGTCACAAAAAGATTACTTTTTCCTAGATTTTGGTATCCAGGAGCTTTAAAAATATAAAAGAGCTTATGAACAACTAATGGGGAATAAGTCAAGACTTATAGGTCAGAAGAACAATTAATTTTTGAACC